AGGTCTGGTCCTTTCTACTCTTCCTGGAGCTCTGAAAGAGTATTGATTAGCTACAGACAGGAATCCGGCTTTTCTCTTTTAAAAATTAGAAAGGAGGGTCTTTCTATAATTTTGAGTGTAAATGTGTAGTGCAAATTCCCTGATTTGGGTGGGTATAGGTGTTAGAGGGGAAGTTCTATAGGCGACTATGGCCTGCAGGTAAAGGATAACTCAGATCTTGCAAGGTGAAGACTGTAACATGAAAATCATTGAATGTCGTCAGATACCATTATTGGCAACATTGTCTTGAACAGACATCAGCAGGTTCTTGCATGGTTAGACTGAGGAAAGTCAGAATAGCAGGCCTCCTAGTGACAGTGGCTGTTTTTTACACAGGGAGGGAGGCATTCCTAGTTGTGATTTTGCAGGCAGTGCCAGAGAAGTGGAAGCAGCAGCAATTTGCAAGGGATGTCTAACTGATAGAATCACTAGCTCCGGGGTAGCTGTGAGGGCATTCTGCTTTCTTGCGATCTATCTGATACCGTGTGCAGGGGCACTGAAAGGCTGGGGGCAAGGATTCTAGATTCAGTGTGGTGTTCGTTAGCTGCGTGACTTCTGGCAGGGGGTTGCCCTTTCTGGTTTAGTTGCTTTATCACAAATTGAGAATGGGAAAGCCTGCCCTGCTGCAAGAGAGAATGAAACGTTATCGATACAAGGCATAGTACTGTTATCATTACGTCTAAGAGACCTTCATCTAAATAGTCAAGGGGAAAAAAAGTTCCGAGTTGAGAGTGTTTAGCTGGGTGAGTGGGGAGAAGACATTCAGTGGTCAGGTTGGTGGAGTAACCACGGGCAGAGAGTTCCCCACCATGTTTTGGAAACTTCACTCCACGAACAGCTGTCTCTGAAAGAGCAGGGCTGGGGAAATGGAAGGTGGTCCCTTGAGGTTCCACTGAAGCATCTCGACCGAGTTGCCGTTGGCAGTTTCAATGTCCTAGTGCTTTCCCTAGGCCCTGCGAGGCTGCCCACCCACTCTGGTTACATCATCAGTCTGGCATTTAATCTTAGGTGAAGTAGATTTAACTTTCACTCATCAAATTCTTAAGCTGTTAGAAAGCACGGATGAACTGACAGGTTCGTCTCTCTGCCTGACCTTTCTGGTTTCTTGCTGGTTATTTAGTCTCTGTGACTCCTCAGTGCTGTCCCGTCCCTCCCGCCCCACCTCCCTGCCCCCCACCGCCTCCACTCCCTCAGCATCATTTCACAGATACCTCCTCATTTCACTAGCTGTCAGGAGCCCCATTTTCCTAGCCGCAGGTTTTCTTTTCCCTTTATTTTCAAGTGTTCCCACTGTGCTTGGCTTGCTTACAGCACTGCTACTTAGTGAACGAGAGGAGTGAAAGATAAGGACTCTTGTTCCAGTTCTGCTTCTTTTACCCTCTGGGGAGAAGCTGTGCCCTTCTCTGGGCAGTTTGGAGCAGGGAAAATAGCAGTTTTACAGCCCCCAGGTTGTTGCCAGAGGGAACTCTCTATTTTATTTTATTTCTAAAATTTGTATTCATTGATTTTAGAGAGAGAGAGTGAGAAACATCAATCTGTCGCTTCACTCATAGATGCATTCTTTTCTTGATTCTTGTATGTGCCTGGACCAGGGACTAAACCCCCAATCCTGAAGCCTCCAGACGATGCTCTAACCAGCTGAGCTACCTGGCCAGGGCAGAATGATCTTTCTAAATGGCAATGTTACTTACTTTCTCAAAACCTGAAGCCTTGAAGCCCTTCTCAAAGACTTCACTCTGTCCATCCAGGCTCCATGGGCCAATCTAGCACACAGGTTTGTCCCGCTAGTTACAATTTTAGGTTTTCATGGTGTATTGGTCCAGAGCTTCTGTGGAGGGCAAAAAGCAGAGGCAGGAAGAGAACGGATGGGGCCCTTTCAGGGTTTATGCTTATTTCCAAAGCAAATGTGTTTCATCTGGTTATTTGGTCATGTATTTGCAGACATTTTGTCCCATGAAGTTGCAGACGTAGCAGCAAAATGATTATTTACCTTGGTTAGGATATCTGTTGTTAAACATTACCCGTTCTTTCCCAGAATTACAGGAAAATTCACATATCCATTAGCCTCATCATTTGTACTTCCAGCCAGTAAAATCAATTCAAGCTATTGAGTAGTTACTTACTTTATTGCTGTTCTCATTAAGTCTGGGAGCTTAGAGGAGTGATTTTTCAGACACTGCGCATTTGCTCCTCCAGTTTCAAGAAATTGCTGTGTGGGTCAGACTTTATCTTACTCATCCCAAGTTCCGGTCTGTGCTGGTTCAAAAACTGGATTTCTTTGGGATGAGTCAGGCTTTAGGAATTTATGTCACCCTGGCCAAACTTATAGGGTCTATTTGTAAACTAGAATATTTCTTCTCTGCGTATTTACTAAACATCTACTGAATGTGTGGCACTGTCCTAATCACTAGGGAAACAGAAATGAATCGTGAATACAATGTGGTTCCTGCCATTTAAAGTTTATGGTCCAGAAGTGGGACAGATAAGTAAACAAATACATTATATATAGTTTGCTAAGTGCAGGGTGGCCTTGCCTCCTGGGATACCCTAGTTTATACCTGTTGTCCTGGTATAGCTATTAATAATGCCCCCTTTCAAAACTAAGGGCCACAGTAAATCTTGTCTGGATGTTTGGTGTATAGAGATGTTAGAAAGGAAGGAAAAATTAGTCTGCTTCCCCCGAGCTGGGTGATGAAGGAAGTTCAGACTGTCAAGGTCAGGGAGTTTAAGGTGGGGGCAGGAGGGAGGACTGTACACAAAACTGCAGGCAAAAGGAAGATTGTTCAGGAGGAAGCGAGTAGTTGTTTCAACCTAGTCATTGTTTCCCAGATTTATCCTGTGAAAAAAATTTGCCAGGACCTTGGTAAAAATACAGATTTCCGATCCTGCTGGCAGTTTGAATTTGTGTTTTTAAAGATGCCCCTCCCCCCACGATTCATGGACATTTTAAAAGTTCAGCACCAATTCTCTACTGATTATGGCTAAGAACACAAAAGGCTGGGAATTTGGGGGACAGGAACAGCAAGATGAGAGTACCCCTCACAGATAAGCCAGGCAGAGTGACCCCGGGTGAGAAAAACCTGAGGCAGAACCTGTTGGGAGGCATTGATGGTAGAACTGTGAAAAGGGGGGTGCAGAGAAAGATTTAAGAACTATTCGGGAGGAAGAATAGTTCTCACAGTAGCTAGTACATGCCAGTTACTGATTTGCACGGAGTGATTATTTCCAGGCAACAAAACATTTTGTTAAATACAGGACCCTGGGGGACCTTATAATCTGAAGGTTTATGTGGTGAACCATAAACCTAAAAATACAGTTGGATAGAGTTGTGGCATGTTCATGTGAACGTAAAAAAAAAAATGAGTCCCGCTTACTTCACATCTTCGTCGTCTCCAGAGCACTCACGACAGCTGTGTTTACCAATGGGAAGGAGCTGGATGGATTCGGTAACCGTCCAACACCCCCAGCCCTTTCACCTAGACTTCCAGCAAACCCCGCCCTTCTGTTATGGTGAGGCAACTATCCACCTATTACCTTGCATTATTTTTGCTTTTGTTTTTGTTAGTAAATGTGTAAAACAGTCAGGATTCATCAGCAACATATGTGCCAATGACTTGTTCCTAAATTCTGGACCTGCTCTCTCTGTGGGAACCTGTAACCACACCTTGGGAAATTGTAACAGTCTTATGCAGCCTCGCAAGGAGATCATTAAGCCCAGCGTTTGAGGCAGCATTGGTGATTCCAAGAGGATCAATCCCTGAGTGGAAAACGAAGAAATCCTCGGAGAGCTCCGCCTTCAAGCATTAGGAGGGTTTTTTATTTTGAAGGTTGCCATCACCAGGCCTGTTGGCATACTTCAGAAGCAGCAAACGAAGTCAGAAATCAAAGCCTTGGACGTTATGAAAAGAAAGTCTCAAAAAGGACGATGGGAAACCGACCAGGCTATAATTTCACAGGGTAATTTAGCACCCTTTGCCCAAGACCTGGCCACAAAGCGTCCACGAGTGCGGCTTGGGAGGGACAAAGCATCTAAGTTTCCTGCACTTGGCCCCAGTGGGAGCGTGGCTGACGGATTATCCAAATCCTGGGGGTAATAGGGTTGAAGGTGATCAGGCTGAAATCTTCCATGCTGTCAACACCAGGGCGGAGATAAAGACCAAAGTTTTTAATATATACTTATATGGGCTTAACTGCTGTACGATCTAACATCGCCAACGCCATTAAATCACCGCGACAAGATGAAAATATAAAAATAAATAGGCCAGCAGTTTCAGTAAAGTTGTGGGAATGGACCCCCAGGAGTAGACAAAGGGAAGTAAAAACAAACAAATAAATAAAAAGGGAAAGTCCAGCAAGCACGGACCCAGAAAATTGGATCTTCCCAGCTCGCGATGCTCAAGGACTCGTAAAGGCGCTAGGGTCCTCCGCTCGCTGCCGGAGTCGCAGCCGGGAAGCCCCCAAGCCCGCAGTCCGGGCGCGACCAGCGTGGCGCGGCTGCGGGGGGATCCGGCGGGAGCGCTGCAGACATCAAAGTCCCGCCGCCGCGGCCGCCCCCGCCGGCGCGCGCGAGTAGTACGGTCCGAGGGGGCGGCTCCTGGGGCGCGGCTCCCGCCGCAGCTGATGCGCGCCGCGCCGGCGGGGAAGGGGGATCTGGGATCCCGAACCCCGGAGTCTCCGAGCTGCCGGGCGCCGCGGGCCGGGGCCCTGAGGAGGCCCCAGGAGAGGCATCTTCCCGGCGGGAGGCGCCGGGCGCGGAGGGGCGCCTCGGCCGCCCCATTGGGGAAGGAGGAATAGGAGGAAGCGGCACTGCCTGCCGGCGAGAGGAAGCGCTTTCACGCCGGCCCCCGACGGCGCTCGTTTAACCACATCCGCGCCTCCGCTGGAAACGCTAACAGGCGCCTGTCACCGGTTCCCTCCATTTTGAAAGGGAAAAAAGGCTCTCCCCCTTCCCCTGCTCTTAGGACCTGGAGCCGGAGGATCCGCGCTCATGGCGTTCAGCCCTTGGCAGATCCTGTCCCCCGTGCAGTGGGCGAAATGGACGTGGTCCGCGGTGCGCGGCGGGGGCGCCGGAGAGGACGAGGCCGGAGGGCCGGAGGGCGACCCCGAGGAGGAGGACTCGCAAGCCGAGACCAAATCCTTGAGTTTCAGGCAAGTACACGCATCCCCGCCGAGATGCGAACGTGCTGCCATCCATCCATCCACCCATCCGCGGCTCCTTCTGTGTGCGTGTGTGTGGTCGCCCGCCGCGTAACCGTGCTCATGGCAATGCTACGACCCTGCCTGTAACCAGGTCCCCGCTGCGCATTCGAAAGTTCAGGATTATCTGTCCTCCCGTGCATTTCCTTTTCTCCCGTTGAAGTATGAGCTTTCTGAACCTAACCGAGAATCCGCAGTTTGTCCGCATCAGCCCGGTCTTGCCTGAGCTTCGATCTACCCCCCTGCCCCGGTCCCTCAGTGTCACTGATCACACCCGGTGGAACTTGGGGCCTTCCCTGTGGGGAAGGAGTCGCTCCAGCTGTGTCCCAGAAATGCAGTCTTGGTAGAGGAGGTCGCGTGATGACAGGCCCCTGGCAGCTGGTGAGAAATGGTGGTCTCTGCTGAGCTGTCACCCATGTGATTGCGGAAGGCAGGTGACAGCATTCTCAGCCTAGGGCCCACTGAGTTATAACAGGTAGAGAGGCCTGCCAGAGAAAAAGCATCATGGCGAGAATTGGTTTAATTTTTTAGGGGGAGGGGACAGGCTTAATTTTTAAGGTTCTGGGAAAGGGCTCTTGTGAGAAAAGGAGTCGGTTGAAAAGAGCTTTCTTCTGGGTGTCAGAGGGAAGGATGACATCAAAAGAAACGGTGCTGGGGCAAGGCCCGGAGGACGGTGATGTCAGGGGGACAGGACACCAGACGGAGGCTTGTGGAGGCCCCCCGCTAGAAAACCTGCAGCATCACCCACAGGCCAATCCGGGCTGAGGACCAGTGGGTTGTAAAGTTAGGCAAAAATCCTGGACTTAGCCATTTTGGATATATGGATTATAAAGGGTGTCGGAAATGCCGTTGAAAGTGGTAATTCCTCATTTTTCCCCCTTGGCAGCTCGGATTCTGAAGGTAATTTTGAGACCCCTGAAGTTGAAACACCCATCAGATCGCCTCTCAAGGAATCCTGTGAGTCATCACTAGGATTAGCAGGACCTGGGGCCGAAACCCAAGGTAAGGAAACTGTCATTTTCTGCCTCTTCTGTTTTAAAGTTTTGGAAATGTAAATGAGGGAAGGAAAAGTGCTAACCTAGAGCCATTTAAAAAGGTTTAGGTGGTCTCCTTGTTGAGTGAGAGAAGGCTGTTTTAAAGCTCCTGGTTTATTTGAAATGTTTGTCTTTGAGGATTGTGGTAGTCAGAGGTTTCTTCCCCAGGTGGTTAGTACACTTACTGTGTGAGATTATCATTATCAAACCTTCCTGCTGGGCCCTCCCCTGCAGCCTCTTAAAAACAAAAATGTGTGTAGGATGCAGTGGTAGAGGTGTGTTTAAGTTTGGCTTCACAAATTTCTCAGGCTAAATAGCCTTCTACAGGGGTGTGGCTGGAGACAAAAATTATAGGTAAGATTTGATGTTTTTTAGATGCAGAATCTTAAGAGGCTGTTCCAAAATTGCTCTTCTATATAGGAATGGTGGTGAGTCCTCAACCTACCTAAGAAAACCTGGTACAGAGGTTCTCTGCTAGCCCCTTAGATCCCAACCTTGAGCCTGCCCTTCATCTGTACAACTTTCTGCTGTTCTACTTAATTAGTAGAAATCTTTTTTGTCACACAGCCAGTTTTGAGTAAAATTTCATCTGTCCTGATAGAATTTATTTATCTGTTTGATAGAGTGCACTGTGATTCAGCAGCAGAAAAGTCCTGCTCTAACCATCCAACATCATAGCGGGTGATGGACCTTTCATTCACTTATTTTACTTTTTAAGATTCTGTTTATTTTTAGAGAGAGGGGAAGGGAGGGAGACAGAGGGTTAGAAACATCGATGTAAGAGAGAAAGAAACATTGATTGGTTGCCTCTCGTATGTGCCCTGACTGGGAATCGAACCAGTGGCCAACCAACTGAGCCACACCAATGAGGGTGTGATGGGCCTTTTAAGGGTTAAGTGAAATATACACGGCAGCTTGTCTTAAGTATTATGGAGAAAAACAAAGCAGGGGAAGGAGGAATAGGTGTATGGGGTAGGCATAGGAAATGCTGAAGATTATGTAGGGGAAGGCTTACTGATAAGGAGACTTGAGCAGAGACCTGAAGATTGAGGGAACAGCCCTGCAGATGTCCGGGCACAGAACCCTTCCAGCAGAGGGAATGGCATCTGCAAAGGTCTGAAACAGGACCAGCCAGTGACTGAGGGAGCCCTGTGGTGGGTGGGTAGCAGGGTGGCAGCATGTTTGAGCACGCGGGAACGGGCCAGTGTGGCTGGAGTGGCGGGACTAGGCAGGGAGCAGTAGTTGCTGATGTCAGCCAGGTAAGGGGCAGTCTGGATCCCATTGTAATGATGATGCCCTGGTTTTCTTCCTGAGTGAGATAGGAGCCCACTGGAGAGTGCGTTAGCTTCCAGGGCTGCCTTGACACGGTACCACAAACTGGGTGGCTTACAACGACAGAAACGTGTTGTCTCAAAGTTCTGAAGGCTAGAAGTCTGAAATCAGGGTGTCTGCAGGGCCACAGTCTCCAGAGTTTCCAGGGAAGAATTCTTCCTTGTCTCTTCTAGCTTCTGGTAGTTGCTGAAAACTCTTAGTGTTCCTTGGCTTGTGACAGTGTAACTCCAGTCTCTGCCTCCTGCAATATGTGGCCACCTTCTTTCCCCCTGCTTGTCTGTCTTCACTCTGCATGCTTACAAGGACACCACTCATTGGGCTTAGGGTCCATACTAATCCAGCGTGACCTCCTCTTAAGTTGGTTACATCTGTGATTAGCAAATACTGGGGGTTAGGGCTTCAGCATAGGTTTTTGAGGGAACCCAGTTCAACTCACAACCTTGGGCTTGAACACAGAGGGATTGTGCTTTGACTTCCTTTTGAAAAGGTTTGCTGGCTTCTGTCTGAAGAAGGGACTCTAGGATGGATGTCCTTTCTGCCATCTTTGTCCCATTGTTTGCCACTGTCACCCTGTAGAGGCGGACAGAGCCAGCCTTCAGTTAGCCAGTTCCCTAATTTCTAATTTTTTTTTTTTGTCTCTCAATGGTTATTTTATTTTATTGCGTAGTTAACTTCCTCACAGGTTGCCTAGGGAAGTCAGGTTCCCTGTGGTAGACATCACAGGGGGGTGGAGCTGGATTATCAGTGAAATACCAGCTTTTTGCGATTTGGTTTTGCTTTAAATGGCGAGCTCCATGCTGTGCCTCCCCTGCTGAGAACTGAGTGCCCTCTACCAGTCCCAGCTGCTTTCACCCTTGTGTTAGGCAGAGACCGCCTGGGAACAGCAAGTTTGCGTGTTGCAGAACTTCGTGTGCTCTTTGCTTTTCATTCACAGTGCTCTCAGTGCCTGGAGAGCCACCTGTTCTTCATAGTTCCCTTTTCTTCCCTCAAGATTGGCAGGTCAGAAGGGAGATTTAAAAGCTTGAAAGATCTATTTTGTCGCCTTCCCATCGAATTTAAATGAAGCTCACAAGACTTGTTAAATTGGTATTTGGAAGCCTCTTTGACTTGCGCTCAGCTTGGGCAGCCCCTTCCCCACCATTCTATCGGCTGGCAGTCTGATTCATCCTGACACATTCTTTGCTAATTGAACAGTGGCTTGAATGGCCCAAGCCTGGCCCCCAGAGCCATAGAGACCCAATTGTTTGGTCTTTCCTGTGCTGCTGACTCATTATTATAAGTTTTGGTAACTTACATTCTCTTTTAAACTCTCTACAAGTTTTCCTTCATGGACCAGGAAAACCCCGCGATGTAGTAGTTCGTGATTGCAGACCGTGTGTATGGTGCGGGCCAGGTGGGTTTTAGGGTCTGAGAAACAACCACTACATACTATGAGATCCGTCACTTTAGGGTCTTTGTAGAGGATGATTGCTCTTCGGCCTGGTAACAGCCTGCTTGCCTTCTAGGGCTCCTTCTGCCCAACACGTAAAGCTGGGCCAGAGTCCCGTTGACAGCTTTGTCACCTGTACCCAGTAAATGTAGAGTACAGCCGAAGCACAGGTCTGACCAGGGACGGTGTGAGTGGACAAAATTTCCCAGAGAGTCATTTCTAGTGGAAGTCTAATTTTTGGACCTGAATGGTTCTCTTTCTTCCCAAATTGTTTTCACCTCCTGACCAAGTTAGTCTTTCATATTTCTGTGGTTCTAGCACATGGTAGGACGCCAGGCCTGGATCTTTTGGAGGGATGATTTTTAAGTTAGCCAGTCAGGAGCCGATGCTAACATGGAAAGATCCTGGCTTCCTGGTGTGTAACGGCCCTCAGCTGTGTGAGCTCTAACCCATACACCACACCCATGGCCTCCACCCCATGAACTCAGAGACACGTCTGCCTCAGTTTTGAAGTTAATTTTCTCTTTACTGAAAGTTTTTTAGGGACTTAAAGTATTTGAACTCTATACTCAAAAAATATTTTATTTGTTTATTTTTTTTACAGAAGAGAAGAGAGGGAGAAAATATTGATGTGTTAGAGAAACATTGACTGGCTGCCTCTTGCACACCCCAACCCAGAGACTGGCCTGCAACCCAGGCCTGTGCCCCTAATGGGAATTGAACTGGCAGCCCTTCGGTTTGCAGGCCAGAGCTCAATCCACTGAGTCACACCTCCCAGGGCATATAGTAACTCTTCTTAAGACAGAGTTGTGTGCCGTTCTAGAAATTTACATTGGATGAGGCTGTAGGTTTTGTTTTTTTTTTTATTTGAGAGAGAAACATCCATTTTTGTTCCACTTATTTATGCATCCTTGGCATATTGGGACAATGCTTTAACCGACTTAACTACCCAGCTGGGCTGCTTTGTTGTTTTAGCCACAAATAGAAGACCATTTCAGACTAACTGGCAAAATAAAACTATAGCCAAAGAGGTTTCTTGAAAATACCTGAGTGGTGGTTGTAATGTTTGCGCTGGCAGTTCTGTGTTTGCCGTTTGTCTGCATTCCCCACAAAGGGGGTTTAGCTGCTGCTGTCCCAGTACTTTTCCTGCTGGGTGGTGTATCAGTGAAGAGGCCTCACCTAGGAGAGGACCTTTGAAAGAGGTACAGTCTGATGTTCCTCTCTTTTTGAGGGAAGGGGTGGTGCTTATGGACTGATTTTTGTCCGGTGTTTCTTCAGACTCTGAAAGCTCCATTGGCTGTCTCTGCTACCTGGGACACATCCCTGCTACACATCCACCTTTACTTAGAGTGTTACTCTTCTTTGAGAAAGAGAATCCTAATACATACTGATGCTCTGGGATGCCCTCGAAACAACTCGTTAAACCTAACCCGCCGTGTTTAATATGTTAATTAAGTGCCTAGGTATTTCAGAGACATATCTAGGCTGTAGCCTTCCAGGATAGAAGGAAAGAGAGGAACAGGCTCAGTCCACAGGTGATTCACTCCTGGGGACCGTGGGGGGCATGCGGAGCGGCTTGCTGACCCAGTTTTGGTCGTCTGGCTCTAGAATCAGCAAACTGCGGCTCCAAGACCAAATCTGGCCTGCCACCTGCTCTCGCCTGTTATTTTTCTGCCCAAGAGCTAGGAATTGTTTTTTACATTTAAGAAATTTAAAAAAAATTTTTTTTTTAGATTTTATTTATTTATCTTTAGAGAGGAAAGGAAGGAGAGAAGGAGAGAAACATCAATGTGTGGTTGCCTCTCGTGAGTCCCCTGCTGGGAACTGGCCTGCAACCCAGGCACGTGCCCTGACTGGGAATCAAACCTTGATCGTGTGGTTCGCAGGCCCACGCTCAATCCACTGAGCCACACCAGCCAGGGCAAGAAATATTTTTAAAAAATATTTTATGATGTGTGAAAATTATGAAATGCAAATCTGAGAGCTCGTAAATGAAGTTTTGTGGGAAGGCAGCCGGCCACGACTGCTCCTCTGGATGTTGTCTGTGGCTGCCCTCACGCTGCAATGGCAAGGTCAAGTGCTGGGAGCTGGGACTGAGTAACCAGAAGAGCTGAACAGAGGGTTTGTCAAATTATAGCGATTTTGGTCGAAAATAGAAAGTTTAAGTAGTTTGGGATGATGACTTCAAAGAAGCAGCACAGCTATAC